TGTGAGGTTCTTCAATCCCACATCAAAGCATGATACACCCCTGCCCCGCTGGGCTGCTAGCAAAGGTCAGGCCAGGGAGAGCTCACTGCTGGGCGGGAGAAGAGGTGTACTCTGCAGATGCTTGTGGCACCATTGGCTTGTCAGGTGCAGTCAGACTGTACATGCAGAGAGTCACTGAGCAGGAGCTGCTGCTCATGGCACCGCCTGTCCTCTCCCTTCCCTCTTCAGAGAAGCAGCTCTCTAGTCCTGCAGTGTCTGGCTCCATCAATATCCCCCGCAGGGCTGAGGAGGAGATGGGTCTAATTCTTCCCCCGGGGTTTGGGCTGGGGGAGGGAGGCAAGCCCAGGGTCAGGAGCAGTGGTAGGGACAACCCCTGCAATCTATTTCCCAGCCTGTGTCTCTGACACTTGCCCTGTGTTTTCGGGCCCATCCCAGCCAGGCTCTCCCCACACTGGGACACAAACAGCCCCTGTGCACTGGCTTCCAGGGCCAGAAGGGAGTTAGTTCAGCCAGTCTGACTCCTGGACAGCCCAGAGACTCCCCCAGCCCCCTGCATTGAGCCAATAGCTCGTGTGGGACCAAAGCCTCTCCCAGGAAGGCCTCCAGCTTGGCTCTGACAGTCAGGTGATGGTTTCAGAGTAGCAGCCGTGTTAGTCTGTATCCGCAAAAAGAACAGGCGTACTTGTGGCACCTTAGAGACTAACAAATTTATTTGAGCAAAAGCTTTCATGGGCTACAGCCCACTTCATCGGATGCATAGATTGGAACATACAGCAAGATGATATTTATACATACAGAGAACATGAAAAGGTGGAAGTAGCCATACCAACTGTAAGAGGCCGATCAATTGAGATGAGCTATCAATTGTCAGATGATGGAGAATCCCCCCTGCCCTGGGTGGTTTGTCCCAGGGTTAATCACCTGCCTGGACAGAAATTGAGGCCTGTGTCTCACTGGGACTTGTCTGGCATCAGCTGGGCCCAGGCTCCCCAAGGCTCAGCCTGTTCCCAGCATTAGAGGGGGGAGGGACGTGATGGCGAGGGTTTGTGGGAGGTGGGAGCTTTGGGTGAATAGCTCCAAGTCACTGGAACCCTGGGCTGGGGCTCAGTTCTGATGTAGCATTGTCAGCCCTAGAGCTCAGAGCCCGTCACCAAGGGGGGCTGTACGGGGGGGACTGGCTGCCCCAAGCACCCCACGAGGGAGCGGCAGAGGGGGACGGAGCCCAGCTCCCCTAACACCTGGGGACTGGACGGCGTCACCTCCCCAGATTCAGCAGCGTGTGGCCCTGAGGTGACAGCTAAGGGCTCCTCAGGCAACACACGGCCACAGCCGCCATCCCGGCAGTGACCTCCCAGTGCCCGTGCAGGGCACGGCTCACACACAAGGACAGGTGGCTTGGGGGCTGCCTGGCTCCGCTCTGCATGGAGAAGGAGCTGCCCTTTCTCACCTGCTCCGGGTCCTTCATCACCTGGGGCCAGATTCAGGAGCCCAGCAATGCAGACGGGCGTCTTGTGCGACTGACAGAGTGCCCAAGGGAGTGAGGTGCCTAACTGTCATTGGCTGCCAACTGGAGTCAGGAGCCCGGACTGCCCAGGAGCTCTAGTGAATCCCACTAGGTACCTGGCTGCAGTGCTAGGTTCCTAAATACCTTTGTCACGCTGGCCCTGGTGCAGAGAGGCAGCATGGCCTAGTGGTCAGAGCACTGGCCTGGCAATCAGGAGATCTGGCTTCTGTCCCTGGATCTGCCCTGCTGGGTGACCTTGGGCCAGTGTCCCCACCTTCCTATGTCTCAGTTTCCTCCTCTGTTTCCCTCCTGTGTAAAACATTTTGAGATCTATGTATGATCTAGTTATGGTTATTGTTAAATGCTCCAGCAAGGCCTTGGGTTAACAGGGTGGGTTTGGCTGAGTCCTCTGTTACTAAATCAGGAGAGGGGTTTTATCAATGTATTTAATGTGTGTTTGATTCTCAGGCTCCCAGCGCTAAATAAAGACGCTGTGGCCGGGGTGGGGGGAGAGGTATAGGACAGGAAACGGGGAGCAGTGACAATCAGACGTGAGGACAGGACAGGCACAGCAGAGAGGGGCCGCGGTGTCCCTGATGCCTCAGCCATACGGCCCTGACGGGTACTCAGAGCAGTGACAGTGTCTGGGATCACAACCCTGAGGGGCAAAGGGGGCAGGTCGGAGCAGGGACTCACTGCAGACTGTCCCTTCCTATCCCCATCCGGAGCAGACATCGCTGGGCTGTTTCTGTCCCTCTCGGTTCCCACCACTGCCTTGATGATCCTGTCTCTGTGCCTCTTGCTGCCCGGTGAGTATCCGGGAACTCTGTGCTAATTTGTAGGGGGTTGGAAGGAAACAGAACCAAGAGCAGCCCCTGGCCCAGGGAGTCGGCAAATCCCCTTTAGCAGCAGAGAGGGTTGCGCTGTTTCAATGTTTGAGGGAATGGGACTGTCCCAAACCAGCACAGGGCCAGCGCTTGGTGCTGGGGATGGGCCGGGGCTAGCAGTCAGCCCAGGCTGGGGTTACAGTCACAGCTTCATAGAGCTTAAGGCCAGGAGGGACCATTAGCCCATCCAGTCTGACTCCCGATAGCCAGAACAGAGAACTTCCCCCAGCTCCCCTGCATTGAGCCCAGTCACTTGTGTTTGACTAAAGCATCCCCCAGAAAGGCCTCCGGCCTGGCTGTGACTCCCCCACTTCCCTGGGGAGCTGGCGCCGGAGGTTAATCCCCAGCACGATGAGAAACTGCTACCTCCTTTCTCACTGGAGTTTGCCCAGATTCAGTGTCCAGCCCTCGGGTCTGGTTCTGCCTGTCTCTGCTGCACTAAGGAGCCCGTCAGCACCTGGGTTTTCTCCTCAGGAAGGAGCTTAGACACTGTGACCAGCCCAGCTGTCTGACCAGCTCCACACACGGAGCTCCGCTGGCCTCTCCTGTGAGGCCTCTTCTCCAGCCCTCGCAGCGTTTTTCTGGCTCTGTTCTGCACCCGCTGCACTTTTCCAACAGCCTTTTAAACTGGGGCCCCAGAACCAGGCACAGGATCCAGTATTGTCCTCACCAAGGCAACAGGCTGGGGGAAATCCCCTCCCTGCTCCTGCTCCCCTCATTACACAGCCCAGGGACACATCAGCGCTGCTGCCCCCACAGTGTCCTGGGAGCTCATGTCGAGTTACTTGTTCCCTGGGGCCCCTAAATCCTTCCCCGGGTCCCTGCTGTCCCGGCCCAGGCCCCAGGCTGCAGGTCTGGCCAGCGTTCCTTGCTGGGAGCTGTGACCTGGCATTTGACTGTATTCAACCCCCCGGTGTGTCACTGGGCCCAGCTCCCCACGCCAGGCACATGAAGTCAGGATAGGCTGGGCTCGGGGGAGATGTTCATGGGTTGTCTGCTCAGCCTGGAGGCAGAGAGACCAGGGAGGGCTCTTGCCATTGGAGGGTGAGGGATTATCGGGGTCCAGCCCCAGGGCTCCATGATACCAGCAGGCCAGAGACATTGAGCTGGGGTCCAGGCTGGGCTCCGGTTCTGGATTTCCCCAGAATTCTTCATCTGGGGTTCTTTATCTGGGGCTCGGAGTCAGACTCATAAAGCTGGGTCCAAATCACACAGTTTGGGTCCAATCTCAGATCTGTGTTTTTTGTGGGGGGAAGGGTTAGGATCAGGGGCTCTGCTTTGGGCCTGTCTCTCAAACATCTGCATCAGATCTGGGCCCTGTCCCTCTGTCTGTCCATAGCATGTTCCCTGCTGCGGGCTCTGCTGGGGAAATGAGGGGCTGAGCTCAGTTAACGGGTCTGGGGATGAACGTAGGCGTTGCCAGGCTGTTAGCAGAGCCCTGTACAGAGACACTCAGTGCTGATCCCCTGCGGGCATGGGAACCCTCCAGGCTGCCCCCATGGGCCTCACCAGCCCAGAGAGGACCTGGGGGGGTCAGGGCTCTGCACAGTGCCTGGCACAGCCTCATGGAGCAGGTGGGGATGTCCTTGGTGGTATGAATTGGGCAGGAACCAGGACTTGGGGGGAACACAGACCCCATCAGCTATTCAGGGCATCTCACAGCAGGCGAGATTCTAGCCTGGCACTGAACACGTCACCTTTCTGTTCCCAGCGCTGAGTCCCAGCAGCCAGGAGATCTGCTCAGCTCCCGGTGAGTCCATCTGTCTGTCTGTCCCCAACCTACCCATAGACTTTAGCCCTCTGTCTCCAGGCCTCCAGCCACCACCCATTGGGCCGCTCCCTGCTCAGCACAGTGTCAGTGGCAATGGCATGGGAAAGCGGACAGGGCTGTGTGAGATCTGAGCTGGGTGCCAGGTCTCCTGGCTGACCCCTTCCTGCCCCGATGCCTTGCAGCTCTGCACTGACCCAGGGCCAGTGTGACACATGGGTGAGAGAGTCACATCCACAGCCCATCCCACCCACCAGACATGGCCAGAAGGGATCATTAGCTCACCCAGGCTGAGCTCCCGTATGACCTGGGCAGGGAACCGCACCCAGCAACCCTTCATCCTGTCTAGCAGGGGCTGTCAGAACCGGGATGCGGCTTTTCAGTCATGGCCGCGTTTCTTTTCTGGCTGCCTGGGCAGCAGGGCCAGGAGATGCTGCCAGCCAAGGCAGCAGCCGGGGACACTGCCAGAGCGGTGTTGGTGGCCAGAGAAAGCAGCAATTTCCCTGCGCGTTCAGAGCTGGGTCCCATCCCCCTGGCGATTCCCAGGAATGGGGGATCCGCTCCCTGCCACTGTTCCAGGATCTTCCCTTAGTCTGGGCCTGGAATTGCCCTTGGATCCCCTGAACCAGCTGGAGGGTGGGAGGGGAGGCACAAGGACAAGGAGGATGTTAGAGCAGATGCCAGAGGGGTTAGGGACTGGACACAGTGTAACACCGACAAATGAGCTGATATGGGCCAGCTGCAGGTTTTTAATTGCAGCGTAGACATAACCTTAGAAGCTGCAAGCTGCTTCCATGGCAAACAACTTTCTTTGGCAAAATGGTCCCTGGGCTCCCCCTAAAATGGGAGCCACTGACAGGTCTGACCCATTCCCCTTCCCAGGTACTCTCCGTGCCCCCACCCTCTACCTGAGCCTGATGTCCGCCAGGCCAGGGGACTCCATGTTGCTCCAGTGCTCCGTGTTCTCCCAGGCCCCCGCCACTCGCATCATCTTCTGCAAGGACGGGGGGGAGGTTTTGTTCCAGATGGGTTCAGAAGAGAAGATCACCTACATCTACAACCATACGGTGTCCAGTGGCAGCTCTGGGAATTATGCCTGTGGCTACGAGATCAAGGACAGCAACAACCGGGTGATCAAATCCCAGCTCAGCCCTGCTAAGCACCTCAGTGTGACATGTGAGTCAGGTGTGTCTGTGTCTCAGACCGTGAGGAAGGGAGGGAAAAAGCATTTCTCTCCCACAGGAAATTCTGATATTTTAAATTTTATTTGCATATGGAATCAGGACAAAAAGTCAAAATTTGATATATTTCATGGAACAGAAATTCAGCAACATTTTAATTCAGAAATATCAAAGATTCTTGTTGAAAAGTTTTTATTTTGGAGAAGCAGCATTTTCTCATGGAAAACTTTTCTGTTGGATATTTGTTGACCAGCTCCACACACATTTCTACACACCGTACTGATCTTTGGTTCCAACTCAGGAAAGCTATCAATTGTGTGCTCAAGTCCAACCCTATTCAGTACTGAACTTTTGTAGGGACTTATTTTTAAGCACCTGGTAAAATCCCATTCATGGAACTAAAGCGATTGTTTAAAGTTTTGTACCTGGGTGCTGTCCCTAATAATGATGCTTTCCTGAAGCAGGGCAGTTCCCACAGGGATGTTCCCTGCCTTGAGGAGCTCACCCTTAGAGCTGGGGGGAAATCCAGGTTTATTTCTACAAAAAATTGTGAACAAAACTATTTCATTCAAAACTCATTTTGGGAAATGTCAGTGTTTTGATGAAAAAATATTAATGAAACTCAATATTTTTCCTGTGATCTCATTTTGACTAGACATTTTCCTTTGATTTGGGTTTTCAAAGCAAAAATGAGACAAAAATGTCAGTTGGAAACACAAATAGTTTTGCTTCTTTTCCTTTCAGAGGGACGTTCTCCTTCCATTTCTGGATTTGGAAACCCAAAATGAAACAAAACCGTCAATTCAAAACAAAACAAACTTGTCGTTCATTTCAAAATTATCTTTCTGGAATGACTAAGAAGATCATTGCACATACACTGTTTCCGGGAAACATTTTGATTCAATCAAACTGGTTTTGGATTAAAAAATGTTGGGTCAAAATGACTTGTGGAAAAACTTTACTCACAAAAAACAGTCAATTACATGACCCTACGGATAACCGCGGGGTGAGCTCCCCAGGTATGTTCATGAGGACCTGAGGGGTCACTTACCACGGGACTCAGCCAGCTCCAGTCAGTAGGGACTTGCTGGTGGTTGCTTGGAGAGGCCATTCACATTGAGGTTCTTTCCTAGGGCTGGATCTAAAGCTCCTGTTGGGATTTACAATCCCTGCTGTCCTGGTTCTCGGTGTGGTGCTTTATCTGCTGGGAAAGAAAGGTGGGTATGACAGTGAGGCCAAGCAGTATTAGCAAATGTACAGACAGACGTGGCAGAGACAACCCCTTAGATACCCTGTACCCAGTGTGTCTGAGATGGGACACACAGATCACTAAAGCTGCAGTTCAGGAAGGCATCCCCTAGTCAGGAAGGGCCCTTATGCCTGTGCACTGCACAAGTACTTTCCTGAATCAGGACCTAACAATTCTGAAACTAGAGCTCTGGTCACAGCTCTGCCCTGCCAACCGTTCCTCACACAGCGTCCCCAGCCCCAAGCTTTCAAAATACTCGAGTCACCCCAACAATCTCGAGACTGGCTTAAAAGTCATGGGATTTCCAACAAGTCACCAGTGTGGGGTCTTTGTATTTGCCTGGGGAATTTGATCTTTCAGGGCCTTTGGGTCATTTTCAGGCTTTTCTCCCCAACAGAGTTAAAATGTATTTGTAATGAAAGCCGACATTCTCACTGAACCTCCTGACTCTTAGACCTGGGACTTTACGGAGAACATAAAATGCTGTGAGATTGATTCTAAAATTGTGAGCTTTGGTCACACCGCTCCCAGGGGCAGTCAGTGGGCTAGTGCAGAAGAGCTCAAGGCTGGCCCATGGGGACAGGGCTCGGTACAATACAAAGATTAATTGGGGCCATGTTGCTGAGTTTCCATCTTTCTCTGCCCACAAGGAAACGTGTCCATGCCTCTGATCACATCGTCTAACTGCCTTTCAGCCATGTCTCTCCCAAGGAATCAAAGGTAGGAGAAATTATTCCCTTCCTCCATCTCATTTCCATTCTGGGTCTCTTCTCTCTGCCTCAAAGAAGGGTCAACGGCCGCTCCAGCATCTCAGCAGAGCTGAGCTCTCCTGCTGTGGGGGGTTTTCAGTCTGTTTGTTATCTGGAGGAGTTTTTGAAAGGCCAGGGAAGGATGACCTCCCTGGTTGGGGTGGTATTTGAGGTTTTAAGGAAGGGGTTTGCCAAAGCGGTGTGTTCCCATCAAATTCACCAGCAGCAGAGTGAGCGTGTTTGAAAATCTCCCCTGGGTGTGTGAAGGAATGAAAGTGACCCTGTTTTACACTCAGGGGAGATCAGGGTTGGTTGGCCACAAAGTGGCATTGACCGACCCAGCCAGTTCCTTAGAACTGGGTCTGTCCTTCTGGGGCAGGTCTGGGAGTGGCCAGGCCTGGCTGGGAACTAAGGGTCTCCAGTCCATCCAGCTGCGGTGGGTAACACCCAATGTTAGCTCCATTGGCTGCAGCTCGGCTGCCACACATGGACTCACCACAAAACACCCACAGTGGGTTCCCTCACAGCGGCCGTGATTTCGGTGAAGGTCTGTGAATGGGGCAGCCATAGTGCTCCCCCCACCTGCTGGGGAGAGCCGGGCAGCAGGGACACCCATGGGGATTTAGAGTGCGCTGTACGTGTGAGCAATATGCTGTGCTGAGGGGGCTCTGAGCCGGTCGCCTCTGCAGCACGGCCCAGGGGGACCAGCTCATTGGGCCCAGGTTGTCCCTAGTGCTGGGGGAGCTGCTAAGTGCTTCTGGCTCGCTGTCTGCCCATCACCCAGTCAGGGGGCTCTGAGGGACCCCTCCCAGTGCCCAGCACACACAGAGACCTTGCAGGGACACCCCAGAGAGTGTCTAAAGATCACTCTCCATTACGCTGCAACTAGCACCTGCCACTCAGGGCTCCCCCTCAACTCCTGCTCTGATTCCCAACACCCTTTCTGCAGCCCAGTGGGCCCACTGCAGTTCTTCTGAGGGCCACGGGGCTCATATGTTTGTTTTAAGGCCTGCCTGGCCCATGCTGGCCTCACAGCCCCAGAGAACAAAGCAGATTCATCAGATGCACATTGCCCCTAGAGGGACTCCAGCAAATCTACCTGGTCATGGCCCAGAGGGATATGATGTGGGGAGCAGCCTGCCCTAGGCTGTGGGTGGGGCAGAAAGAGCCAGGTGGGAGTTCAGGAAGCCCCTGGGGTGACCAGCTGAACACAGAGAGGGAAAGGAGCTTGGGGAGACTAGAGGCAGATTCCAGGCTCTGCCAGTATCCGGCCCAGTCTGGGTTCCCAGTGCAGTGACTCTGCCAATAAAATTGGTGGGGGTAGGGGGGGACACAACATGCAGACCCTTAGTACTGGGAGCCCCCACTCTGCAAACTCCCAGCTGTGTATGTTCTCTACCTGCCTCCTGTCCCCCCTTTAGGGCTTTAAACAGCTGCCTGTCTCCAAACATTCCTCCCTCCTTCCTCCAGCCATGTGACTAGCCTCTCCCCACAAACACCCCCACCTTCCTCTCCTGAGACATGGGAGCTGGGTAGCAGATTGTATCAGCAGTAAACTGGCTGGGGATCTGAAGCTGAATTTCCATTCTGTTCAAAGATATTGAAGTTGAGCCTTGATTATTATAACCCTTCTGCCAGCTGGAGTTAGCAGCCACGAGGGCCGGGTTCAATATCTAGGGGTTCCTTTTCAACAATACAACCAGAACTGTCTCAAGCCCCACACAGTGACCTGGGACAATTACACATCACCCCGGGTGCCTCTGAGAGGCAAAATTTCCCCGCTCACAAGCACAGAGTCTGAGTGTAGAAAAGAAACTTTTAATAAAAAGGGGGAAAGTAACCTGTCATTAACTTGGGAAAACACCACAAGTAGGATTCATAACATAAAACCTTGAGTAGAACACACACACAGAGTAAATTGGGCAGTGTCCTTTTGCCTCAGGTTTTTAAGTCTTTAACCTTTCCCTCCCTTCTCCCACCACCACACCCCACTTACAGTTGTTGTCCTTGGTCAGTGAAACCCTAGATCTCAAAGGTGCATCTACAGAGCTCACCTCCCAACCGGAAGCTGGGGGTATATGGGGAAAACACCTTACTATTTCTGCTGTCTGGGTACTCAGTCTAGCACCAGTCATCCCACTAATCATTCAGTACCCTGCTGGCCAGCCTACACCATCTATAACATTTTGAGGTCCTACCACACCATACAGTACCAAGCTCTCAGTGATTTCAACTATTAGTGGTAGAACCTTACTAGTAGTGCAGATTCTTGTAACTGAGACACTGTCCCCATCCCCTGCCTAGTGAGTACAGTTACGTAGAGGATGAGTCCCTCAATCAGGGTATGGCAAGCACTATCCTGCTGCCCTTGATTCACACAACAAGGATAACAACACCTTGTTACCCCTGCCCCCAATAACAAGGTGACTTGTTATCCAACAACAGCCCAAAGTGGCCATTTTGTCAAAGCAGCTCCATGAGGCTGTGCACCTAGGCAGAGTGGGCGTGTCTATGCAAACAAGATTGCTTCATGAAGTCTCCTTCCCCAGCTAATCACTGGATCTCAGGAGAGAGCACATGCAGACCCTGCTTACAAGATATATGTTTAGTTTTCAGCATTTACATATTGTGAGCAGATGTGGAAAAATTCAGTGAGAAAATTGCAAACAAACAATTTTATTCATAACGTTTCATAGAACACTTTGGGGTTTTTTGATAGAAAAAATCAAAGTGAACCAAATAAAACTGTTCATTTCATTCTGAAAATAAAACAAAAATGTCCATTCAACAACAAACAAAATTAACATTAACATTTTGTTTGTTTCAGACTTTTTTCATTGAAAATTTAATTAAAATGAAACTGTTTGGGCCAACCATTTCATTTTGTTTAAACTATTGTTCATGGGGGGAAAATCAGTAGAACATTTTTACCAAATTCTAACTGAGCGCAAATGACAACTTTTGTCCTGAGATGTCAGGGATTTTTGGTCCTCCTCCCCCCACCCACCCCAATTTTAACTCCAACCTGACCAAGTGGAGCTTTGGCTGTCTGTTTTGTTGGCTGTTTTGCTGAAATAGGACAGGACGTTAAATTCTCATCTTTATTAGACGTTCCCTACATAAATGGTAAAGCCACCATGTTCCCTGATTATCCAGAACTAGGGTTTGCTGCCTTTCCACTGAGTGTGAGCAGAATCAAGATCTAAGGTCCTATCAGGAGGACCAGTCATCATGGGAAGATTGCTGGATTGCTGAAAACAGAGATTGAGCACATGGTGTGATTGATAAACCCTGTCCTTATTCCTCCCCACAGGGAACGAGTCCAGCGTGACACCAGTAACCCTTATGAAGATGATATTCACTGTAAGAGCTTTTGGAGAGTATTGGGGTTACCAGGGTCACCAGCACATGAGGGAGAAAGGCGGGGGTTGAGGGTAAATGTGTTAATTGGTGGGGGATGGACAGATCCCAGATTACACAGTCTGGCCAAGAGTTAGTCCAACACACTACTGGTGATAAAAGTGAACGAGGAGAAAGAGTTTGCGGGATCCCAGGGATTGTGCATCTGAGTTCCTGAGGTTTCTTTGTCCCACCTTTTGTCTGTAATGCCCAGTCCTGCATTGCCATGCCTTAGGGGACTGAGCCAAAATGTTACCCCTTCCTGTCCCTCATGGAAAGGACACATCCGGGGAAAGCTCCCATTGGAAAGTGTTCCACCCCCTTCACTAGGAGCTGGGCTCGGTGCTTCCTTCCCTGTACTAACGTGGACCTATAGCCATCTCACAGCTAGTATGGCTGAAGTGGCCACCCTGTTTTCCCCTGACCTACAGCCTGAGGTGATGGGAGTTGCCGAGGTTTTGCCAGGTTGCCTGCTGCACCTCCAAGTCCATGCAGAGGGGCTGGCATTGAACCTTGTCAACATATATGCCCAACATTGAGCCTGGAGCAGGGGCGTTTTTTTCAGCAGGCGTCCACCTTCCTCGACTCCTTGGACCCTCGCGAGTGCCTGGTCCTGGGTGGGGACTTCAACACCACCCTTGAAGAGCGGGACCGCTCGGGGACCGAGAGGTGCTCGGCCACCATGGATGTCCTCCAGGAGATTGAAGATCATCACTCCCTGGTGGACATCTGGCACGATTACCACCCAGACGATGAGTCCACTTTTACTTATGTCTGGGTGGAGGTAGATCGGTCACACCACTCCCAGTTGGATCGCATTTATTTATCCTGTCATCATCTCTCACGGGCCCACTCCTCCAGCATTCGTCCAGCCCCGTTCTCTGACCACCATCTCATCTGGTGGCCGTGACAGCCTCTCTCACCTCAGAGACCAGGGCCAGCCTACTGGCATTTTAATAATAGCTTGCTGGAGGATGTGGGCTTCGTGGCATCTTTCTGGGAGTTTTGGCTGGCCTGGTGAGGGCAGAGGTGTGCCTTTCCCTTGGTGCAGAGGTGGTGGGATGTGGGGAAGGTGTGCGGCTGGCTCTTCTGCCATGACTACACCCAGGGCGCCAACTGGCAGAGGAATGTGGTGATAGAGCAGTTGGAACTGGAGGTCTTAGAGCTGGAGAGGCATCTGGCCACCAGCCCCAGGGATCTATCCCTCTGTGGAGCATGCCGGGAGAAGTGGGAGGAGTTCCGAGTTCTTGAGGCCCATTGGGCCCGGGGTGCGTTTGTTTGATCCCGCATCCATCTCCTTCAGGAGATGGATCGTGGCTCCTGCTTCTTCTACACCCTGGAGAAAAAGAGGGGGGGCTAAGAAGCATGTCACCTGCCTTTTTGGCAGAGGACGGCTCCCCCTTCATGGATCTGGAGGAGATGCGTGGAAGGGCCAGGACCTTCTACGCCACCTCTTTTCCCCAAACCTGACCGACGCCGACACTCGCAGAGTGCTTTGGACTGAACTCCCAACGGTCAGCGTAGGCGACTGGGACCTGCTGGAGCTACTTCTCACTCTGACTAAGGTTTTGGAAGCCCTTCCTCTCATGACCACTAATAAATTCCTGGGCATGGACAGGCTGGCCATGGAGTTCTACCGTGTGTTCTGGGACATCCTTGGCCCAGACCTAGTCACTGTCTGGACCAATCCTTCGGGAGCAGGGTCCTCCCTCTGTCGTGCAGCCGAGCTGTGCTCACCTTGCTACCAAAGAAGGGGAACCTCTGCGACCTTTGGAAGTGACGTCCCATCTCACTCTTCAGCATGGACTACAAGGTCATGGCGAAGGCCATCTCGCTGCAGCTGGGGTCCGTGCTGGCAGACGTGGTCCACCCCAACCAGACCTACACCGTCCCGGGCTGCTCCATCTTCCACAATCTGTACTTGGTCTGGGATCTCTTGGAGCTTGGATGTAGGAATGGTCTGTCGTTCGCCCTCCTGTCCCTGGACTAAGAGAAGGCGTTCAACAGGATGGACCATGGGTATCTCCTGGGCACTCTGCGGGTGTTCAGCTTTGGGTCCCAGTTTGGGGGTTTTCTCCAGGTGCTGTATGCCTCTGCCAAGTGTTTGGTCAGGCTCAACTGAACCCTGACCAAACCGGTCAGCTTTGGGCAAGGGGTACATCAGGGGTGTCAGCTGTCAGGCCAGCTATATACTCTGGCGATCGAGCCCTTCCTCTGTCTCCTCCGCTGGAGGATGACGGGGTTGGTGCTTCAAGAGCTGGAGTTGCGGCTGGTCCTGTCGGCGTACACCGATGACGTGCTCCTCGTATTCCAGGACTTGGGTGACCTGGTGTGGGTGGAGGCCTGCCAGGCTATCTACTCGGCGGCCTCCTCCACCCAGGTCAACTGGGTCAAGAGCTCTGGCATGATGGTCGGGGTTGGGTGGGAGCCAAGCTCCCTCCCACCCACCCTTCAAGCTATTCGATGGAGCATGGGTCCGCTGCTCTATCTCAGCGTTTATCTATCCACCACGCATCCTTCTCCACCAGAGAACTGGCAGGGTTTGAAGGCCAGGGTGGGTGAGCGGCTGAAGAGATGGACGGGAATACTCCTGTGCCTTTCTCTGTGCGGGAGGGCACTGGTACTTAACTAACTAGTCCTGTCCATGCTCTGGCACCGGCTCAACACCCTGAGCCCCACCCCAGGGATCCTGGCCCGGCTCTAGAAGTTGGCTCTGGAGCTCTTCTGGCCAGGACTGCACTGGGTCTCTGCAGGGGTTCTGAGTCTTCCCCTGGAAGAGGGAGGACACTGTCTGGTTTGCCTATGCAACCATGTCCATGTCTTCCGCCTCCAGGCCCCGCAGAGACTCCTTTACAGTCAGGTAGGCCGGCATGGAGCATGTTGGCGCACACCTTTCTCTGCTGCCTTTGAGGGCTCCGATATGACTGGCAGCTCTTTTATGTCCATCTGAGAGGTCTTTCCATCAGACCCTTCTGGGCTGCCAGTCTTCTACCAGGGTCACCTCCGGACCTGGAAGCTGGTTTCGGCAACCAGGTCCATGGCGGCCGCCAAGGGGGCAGATCTCCTCATGGTGCCCCGACTATACAATCCCCAACTCCGTGTGCAGGTGGTGGAGTCCCACTCGGTGCACCAGAAGTTGGTCCTGGCATAAGTCACCAGAATCAGAGACCTCTGATGGGGAGACTGGGTGGATTGCCTGATGTTTACTCAGTGTATGGGGCTCTCCATCCTTCGTACTCCCCAGCGCGTACTTCAGAAGGTGGGGGCAGCCTTATTGCCTGCTTCTCAGGTTTACCTCGAACGGGTCCTCTGGGAGGGTACTCCCCACCCACCATACACCCCAAGCCCTCCGGACCTTTTCATCGGGCCCCTGCCCTGTGAGCCGCCCGAGTTATCCCACCCACACACGCCAAGCTGGTTGCATGACATCTGTACACGCTTGTGCTGCATACTCTCCATTTCCTCACCCTTGATACGAAGGGACTTATTGCCACCTATTGAGGGTCAGGAACCCCAGTGGGACAGTCTATACTCCACCTTAGTCCCATGGCCTGCCAGGGGTATTGGTTGGCAGCTCCTCCACAGAGCCATAAGCGCGGGCGTGTACCTGGCATGGCTCACCCCCATCCCCGACGCCTGACCCTTCTGAGGCATGAGGGAGACCCTGGCGCACACCTATCTTGAGTGTGTCAGGTTGCAGCCCCTATTCCAGCTCCTCCTAGATCTCCTCTGACATTTTTCTCTGTACTTCTCCCCACACCTTCTCATATATGCACACCCTGTCCATGGCCCCACAAAGTCATGGGACTGCCTCGCCAACCTCCTCCTAGCAATGGCCAAAGTGGCCACCTATAACACCAGGAAGAGGATGTTGGCTCAGGGGATTCCCTGTGACTGTGGGACCTATTTCTGGTTCTCCCTCCATTAATGCATCTGGTCAGAGTTCCTCTGGGCAGCGTCCGCTGACTCCCTTGACATCTTTGAGGAGCAGTGGGCACTGTCCAGGGTTTTCTGCTCAGTGTCCTCTTCAGGTTCCCTTTTTTTGACCCTTTGACCTTCACACCTGTCCCTGTTATATTCTCTGTTATCCCCTGTAATTAATTGAGTTCGTGGACTTAGTGGATCCTCTCCAAAGGCTGGTGGAGAGTCCTTTATCAGTGGGTGGGCTTGCAACCGCCCACTTCCCGGAACCCAACAGGACTAATGTGGACCAGGATGTGACAACACAACAATAAGTCCCAACAGACTGGGCAATTGGTGCCAACCTGTTGGCTGTATTGTGATACCCCAGGCTGAAGGCTGAGATATGTATATGTGAGATATTCTTATCTTAGGGTATGTTAGTGTAGAAGTATAAATAGAGAAAACTCTAATTTAAAATCCCCTAAATGTCTAAGGTGTTTGGAAGCCCTGGGGAATTAATGTCACATCCAAGAGGGAGATTTAGCCTCCTGAGAAACACAGTCACACATAACCTTTTTTCTACTTAGAGTCTGGATTGCTAAATTTACATTTTTATTTAAAAAAATTGAATATTAACCCAGTGGATCATTAAATCCTTGGTCTGGTTAGAAAATAGGCTTTTTTCCTGTAGAAACCCAGACAGACAGTTTCCACTGAACATCTTCAACAGCTGTATTTAAAAGTCCTTCTGCCATGATATCACTTAACGACTCTACTCAGGATCAGGCTCTATTGTGCTCAGTGCTGCCCATGGGGGAGCCCTGTCCTGACTGGGGGAGAGGTGGGAATTGTGGGGTTATAATTTGTGCTCAGCGAGGTGCCTTCGCTTAAGGGTATTTACACCCAAGTGACAATAGGTAACTGTCATTCTCTCCCCAGACGCCTCAGTGGATTGGCTGGGAAGCTCCAGGGTGAGTCGCAGCTTTTATTAATAATAAAGTGAAGTGATAGAAAAGAGCGATTTGTTTGCCTGTTCCAGCTCGGCAGTGACCCATAGGCTTGGAACATGGATTTACTCAGGATTCCCAGGCTTCAGGTTGTGTCTGTTACCCTGGTCTCACTGCTCGGGCCACAGATCTCCACCCAGGAGCAGGTAGCTGCCTCCCACATCTGCTGTTACCCTGGCCAGTCAGGCCCTGTCCCCCACAGACACACAGACACACATCCAGGCAAGAGGAAAACATCCTTCCCAAACTCCACACCGCAGCAATAGGGGAGAATCCCCCACAGCCTGAAAATCTATCCTGCTATAGAGGGGCTTTCCCCACCAGCCTCTGCAGTCAACCAATCAACTAAGGCAGAGATATTCAAGGTTTCAAGGTTCCCATTAAAACTCCTGGGAACTGGACGTTCAAATCCCTCAGGCAAGTTTGAAAACCTCCGAAATGTTACCCACATGGGAATCAGCTCTAGTGAGACAGATCCTATTAGTGAAGCCTCAGCACCACGCTTTGGTAAACCCCCCCACCCTAGGCCTCCCACAGGGGAAGGAAGACAGGCAAGGGGTGTCCTGGGAGGTTCCCATTGACTTCAGTGGGGGCAGAATTTCCCCCCATGGGTCTCCATGCGATGTAGGTGTCCGTGGGGCGTGCACGGTCTCACACTGCTAGCAGCAGCTGTGCAGTGATGCACACACCTGGGTATTATGTTAGTGGCAGGGAAAGCTGCTAACACAGAGCTTCTGTCCCCCAACTGCTTCCTTATGATAATTATTTGTCCACACTCCAGCTGATATTGGCAATGAACAATAACCCTGGATTTTTTTCTTCCTCCCCTTATGATTCACGGGAGGAGTTTGGATCACTCAAGTTTTATTTTTTTATTATTACTTATAATACGTACCACTTTATTGAGAGTTTAGAGCAATGTCACAAAGGGAAGAGCCATGAGCAGCCATTATGGAGGGATAGCTGGTCTCCATAGAGATAAATTTATGAGTCAACAGTGTGCCCTTGTTGCCAAGAAGGCTAACGGCATTTTGGGCTGTATAAGTAGGGGCATTGCCAGCAGATCGAGGGACGTGATCATTCCCCTCTATTCGACATTGGGGAGGCCTCACCTGGAGTACTTTGTCCAGTTTTGGGCCCCACACTACAAGAAGGATGTGGAAAAATTGGAAAGAGTCCAGTGGAGGGCAACAAAAATGATTAGGGGGCTGGAGTTATGAGGAGAGGCTGAGGGAACTGGGATTGTTTAGTCTGCAGAAGAGAAGAATGAGGGGGGATTTGATAGCTGCTTTCAACTACCTGAAAGGGGGTTCCAAAGAGAATCATAGAATCATAGAATATCAGGGTTGGAAGGGACCTCAAGAGGTCATCTAGTCCAACCCCCTGCTCAAAGCAGGACCAATTCCCAACTAAATCATCCCAGCCAGGGCTTTGTCAAGCCGGGCCTTAAAAACCTCCAAGAAAGGAGACTCCACCACCTCCCTAGGTAACGCATTCCAGTGCTTCACCACCCTCCTAGTGAAATAGTGTTTCCTAATATCCAACCTGGACCTCCCCCACTGCAACTTGAGACCTGGGATTGCTTCAAGTTAAAGATGCATGAGCTGTCGGAGGCCTGTATCCCAAAAAAGGGAAAAAAAGTGATCCGGGTAACTACAGGCCTGTTAGTTTAACATCTGTAGTGTGCAAGGTGCTAGAGAAAATTCTGAAAGAGAAA